TCAAGTGGGTATTATCTGCAAGTGTGGGTGTTCTTACCATTATCCCTTCTCCTATAATCGCTCCCATTTGTAATGGAAATGTCTACCCTTTACCTGTTTCACCATTGTAATTAAAAGCAGATAACTTGCATTCTAGATTCACAGATGAAGAGGGATTTTGTCCAAGGGTTGGAACTTGAACTTGAAAGAATTTGGGGCCAACATTATGGGGTTAGTATATTTTTGGTTTTACACATTGGTGGTATCATGTTAGGTACAGTATGAATTTATTGTCTTTATCTAGAGATTATGTATGGTGTAAGGAGATGCGTACAGGTGCCAAATTGTTAAGAGTTGGACTGTGATAGTTAAAGTTTTGTGTCAACATGACTGACTGAGCCAGGATTCTCGGTGGCTTAACAGCTAAGATGCAGTATATACCGTATGATGAGATCTAATAAAATCACCTCCATAATGAGATCTGCTATGAGCAGCCAATCAGTTCATAGGAATTTTCCTTGGGTGGGTGGCCTGCAAACACCCTTTATCTTTAAGAGTTAAAAGGAGAGAGAAGTAAGCAGAGAAAGAGGAACCTACTATCACCAAGAAAAAGAGTCAGGAATGGAGTGTGTCCTTTGGAACTGGGGTCCCTGCACTGTGAAGCTCCTAGATCCAAGGACAGACTGATGCCAAGACTCAGCGAGATCTCCAAGGAAGGCTGGGTCTACAGATGCTGAAAGAGACAAGGATCTTCCTCCAGAGTCAGTGCTCTGAAGTCAGCCTTACAGCCTCCTAGGCTGTGAGAGAGTAAAGTTCCATTTGGTAGAGCCATCCACCTGTGGTGTTTCTGTGATAGCAGCACTAGAGAACTGAGACAAATAGGTTGGGTAATAAAATTCTGGTCCATCCAAGCAGCTATTTGAAATGTTAATGACTGGATGAATTTTTTCCTAGAAATTAAGCAGCTTACTTAATATCACCAATTCTAGCTTGTTTAATTACAAATAAAGTTAATTTTTAAAACCAAGTAAAGAAAAAGATCCTAAGTTCAAGCTACTTTTAATAAGCATTAAAAAATATATAATGAAGAAATATAAAAACATCTTTTCCATACATTAATTTCACAGTTCTCTGACAATTCATGATGACTGCTAACCACAAGGTTGGCAGTTCAAGCTCACAAGCCCAGGAGAATGATAAGGCTTTCTGCTCTTGTTTACATTCTCAGGGTCGCTATAAGTCAAAATTGACTCAATAACACTTAACAGTAGTAACAACAACGAGACACAAAATTATATTATACTCTGTAGACAACTGTACATTTAGAGTCTGTTCTTACAGTCTGATTTTACAACTCCAATACCCCCATCTGGTTTGAATTTTACCTCATTTTTTATAAAAACAGTATGGACTACAGCTTCTTTATCTTCAGTGGAAGGCAAAAGAATTGTTTCTTCAGGTCTGATCTGGGACCACTGGCCCACCAGTGAAGGACTTTTAGAAGATAAGAGAGTCTTAGAATCCAAATACTCCCACAGAAATATGCATCCAGAAGGTGTTGTAAGCAGAACTCTTTTCCCATTTCCAGATACATATAAATACAGTTTCAAAGAGCTGGCTTAAAAAAAAAAACACAAAAAATTAAACTTCTAAAATCCAAAATTCCCCCAGAAAGTACATAATCTATTCTAGTCAATAAGAAATTCAAATTATGTGACCATTCAGGATGAAGGGTGTTAGTTGCTGTCCACTCATGGGCAAATTCACGTGTACAGTGTAAAACTGCTCCAAAGGGTGTGTTCAAGGCTTTTACTTTTTGAAAGTAGAATGCCATGTCTGTCTTCTGCGGTGCCTCTGAATGGATTCAAACTACAAACCTTTCTGCTAGTCATCAAGAACTTAACTATTTGTATCACCCGGGGACCCTTGAAACTAAGGTAAAGTATATGTACAAATAATAGTATCATTTATAAAGTACTTAATATGTGATGCTAAGAATTCATTCTTAAGCAGATATGTTAGTCATGACAGACTTCTTCTGCAAAAAGAATTTTAATATCACAGATTATTAACATCACCAAATTAATGTACTGGACTGCAAAGTCAGTTTGAACCACAAGGTGGGCGGTTCAAATTCACCAAATGCTCCTCAGAAAACCTATACAGGGTCACTATGTGTCAGAACCAACCAGATGGCACTTAACAAAAACAACTGTATATGTATAATATATATATGTATACATGTTGTTGTTGTTATTAATTACCATGGAGTCAGTTCCAACTCTTAGTGACCCTGCACAGAGTTTCCGAGGCTGTAAATCTTTATGGGAGGAGAAAGTCTCATCTTTCTCCCGTGGAACTGCTGGTAGTTTCCAACTGCTGACCTTGAGGTTGGCAGCCTGACTCGTAACCACTACGCTACCAGAGCACCTTATATGTATATACACTTACATATATATAGAGAGAGATTGAGAGTCCTTGGGTGGTGATGTGGGTTAATGTGCTCGACCTCAAGGTCGGTTTGAACCTCAAGGTCAATGAGTCAAGCTCACCAGCCACTACCTGAAAACCCTAAATAGGATCAGTATGAGTCAGAACCGACTCAGTGCCACTTTACAAGAACAACTATATATATACACACACACACACATATATATAGAATGTACATACATATGTGTGACATATATGTATATATATGTCACACATATGTATGTACATTCTCTCTATATATACACATATAGAGAATGTATATACATATGTGTGACCATATATATTGTCATATGTGTGACTGTATATATTGTTATATATGTATATATATGTCACACATATGTATATACATTATATATATATATATATAAAATGTATATACATATGTGTGACAGTATATATTGTTATATATGTGTGTGAGTGGCACTGTGGGTTAATGAGCTGGACTGCAAGGTCAGTGGTTCAACTTTACCACCTGCTCCTCGGAAACACTATACAGAGTCGCTAAGAGTCAGAACCAACTCGACAGCACTTAACAACAACAACATATATAAAAAGTTCATGGAAAATGGAATTAAAAGATAACAGAATTTTTCCGGAAACTTTCTGAAGACCCCTTGTGTTTGTAAGAGGGTAACTCATACAGTGGAGTGCTGGTGGTGTCGTGGTTTAAGCACTGCTCTGTACCAGTTGTTCCCCAATAGAACAATGACATTTTCTATTCCGGTAAAGATTTGCAGCTTCAGAACAATACAGAGCAGTTCCACTCTGCCCCATTAGGTTACTGTGAGTCAAGGTCAGCCTGACAGGAGTGGGTTGGGTTGGTTTTTGGTTTTGTAACTCAAAAAGTACTGCTACAAAATCATACAACCCTTCACTAAACAAAAATATAAAAATGTGAAGCTACTGTTTCTTAACATAACCTCCATTTAGGTCTATAGACCTCTTGATGGTGGTGTTTCCATCTCTCTAACCCTTCTTGGAGTCCTGGTGTGGTGCCTTTGTATCAGCACTTTGTATCAGTGCCTTTGTATCAGCACAAGGTCCAAACCCATCAATCGCGTCTTGGAAACCCTATATTTGGTCACTATGAGTCATTACTGAATTAACGGCACATAACAACAACCCTTCTCTGAAGAATTCTGTGTGCTTCTATTTATTGACATCATTTCTAAATGGAAGCTTTGGTATCCTCGAGGGACTCAAACTGTGTTCTTTGAAATGTTTGAGTTTTAAGAATAAACAAGTCTGAAGGGTCAAGATCAGGGAAGGGGTAAGGTTTTCCCACCAAATTCTCATAGTATAGCCCTTGCTAAACTTGGACAATGAGCATGTACAATGTGATGATGAAAAAAAATTTCTTGGCACAATGTTCCTGTCCTTTTTCTCATTCATTCAGTTTTCAATTTTTATAAAACGTCTTCATAATTAACCCACATGATTGTCCTGTGTTCTTCCAAAAAATCTCCGTCAAGATTACCACCATTGGAATCTTAAAACCCAGATACCATAACTTTCTGAGCTGACCTCTCTGCCTTCAGTTTAACTGGTTCACCCCATGGAAGCCACTGTCTTGGACCTTCCTCTTTGGATTGTATTAGTAAATCCAACACTCTTCTCCTGTTACAATTCGTTCCAACAGTTTCCATCTTGCTTTAAAGGGCTAAGGAAAAGGTCAGCTCTTTGAGCTAGCTGATCTTCATGCAATGCTTTTAGCACCTACTGAGCCAAAAGCTCACTGAGACCAAGATGTTCACTTAAAATTGAAAATGCCGAACCATGTGAGATGCTAACTTCAGTAGCTATCTTACCTGTGGTAATTCTATGATCTGCTACCAGTTTCTAGACTTCTGTCACTTTTTTCATTCATTGATATTGACAGTCTTCCTTCTCTTGGCTTACATTCTAAGTCTGCCCAACCTTCCTTAACGTACTCGATCCATCTGAAAACTGTTGTACTATGTGGGGCAGTAGTCACATAAGCAAAGATTTAATGATTTGGGAAGAAATCCACTGGAATTTTGTTACAAATTAGCCCTGACCTCAAATTTTTTTCCCATGAAACAAAAAGTATCCTTTATTTTTTAAGGCACTCTAATGAGACCAACGGGACTCCTGGTGTGTTGCTGTGGGTTAATGTGCCAGACTGCTAAGCCATTTGAACTGCAAGGTCGGCAGTTCAAGCTCACCAGTTGCTCCTCGGAAACCCTGTATTAGGGTCACTATGGGTCGGATCCGACTCAAAAGCACTTAACAACAACAACAACAACGAGACCATCAAGTCCTGGTGTGGTGCTGTGGGGTTAAGTACTGGACCGCTTAATTACAAGGTCAGCAGTTCAAAATCACCAGCTTCTCCTCAGAAACCCAGCACAGGGTCACTATGAGTCAGAATCGACTCCATGGCACTTAACAATGAGACTAAGACAAGTGCACCAGGCTATTTAAAAAAAAAAACCTTGCTACGATAGTTCCAGTTCATATAAATCCCCAATACAACCATTGCAATCCTGACTCATAGTGGCCCTATAGGGCAGAATAGAACTCCTCCATATGGTTTCTAGGACTGTACCTCTTTACAGGAGCAGACAGCCTCATCTTTCTCCTGTGGAGCAGCTGCTGGGTTGAAATTGTTGACCTTGAGGTTAGCAGCCCAATGCATAACTCACTATGCCAGTAGGACTCTCTTTATTCCAAACAAAACATGTTTAAACATGTCTCTGCAAGCAACGAATAGCTGCAAACAAGGTCTGTCAGTAATACTTTTGTCTGAATCTCACTAGGGTACCTTCAAAACAAAGGTCCAACAGAACAGCAACTTCCAAGGGAATCTGCTGGACCACTTAAATTCAAGGCAGAGGGGTCAGCTCAGAAGGTTATGATGTCTGATTTTTGGGATTCCAAAAAAGTAATCTTGATAGATATTTTCTAAGGACATAGGATGATCACAGAAGCTTATTAGGAAGAAGTTTAAAGGGCAGTAAAAACTGTTCTTAGGCCAGAAACATTGTGCCAGGGAATTTTGTCCTGCTCATTCTTTGAGGCTGTCCCATGAGAATTTCAGAGGGAAACCTTACCTCATCTACCCTACAGCTCTGACCCTGCCCCTTCAAACTTATTTGGTTCCCCAAATTCAAAGAACATGAAAAAGGAACACAATTTGAATCCTCTGAGGATGTCAAAATTTTGACATGGTGTGAATGAGAGTGTGAAATTCTTCAGGGAAGGGGTGTTGTTAAGTGCCATCAAGTTGGTTCCAACTCATAGCGACCCTGCATAGGGTTTCTGAAGAGCAGCTGGTGAGTTTGAACTGTCAACCTTGCAGTAGCTGTCCAATACACACCCAAGAATGCTACTCCAGAACTCCCGGGAAGGGTTAGACAAATGGAAACACTGGCGACAGAAGTGTATAGACATAGATGGAGAATACAATGAGAAAAACATAGCTTCACGTTTATACTTTGTTTAATAAAGGTTTTATGATTTTGTAACAATACTTTTTGACTTAGCCTAGTATTGCTGAGAGAATTCACATACAACCATCCACTGATCACAAAAACATGTTCAAACTTGTTTTGTTTAGAATAAACTAGTGTATGTATTAAATGGAACCCTAGTAGTAATTTTTTACTTACTCTCATATACGTATGTTGTTGTTGAGGTGCTGTTGAGTCATACCGAATTCACAGTAACTCCAAGGAGTGGCTGGTAAGTTTGAACTGCCAACCTTGTGGTTCAAACTAACCTTGTGGTCCAGTGCTTTATCATATATATATAATGATATATGAATCCTAGTATGGCACTGTGGGTTAATGTGCTGGACTACACAGTTGGTTTGAACAGCAAGGTGTCAACAATTCAAGCTCATCAGCTGTAACTTGGAAACCCTATACAGGATCACTATGAGTTGTAACTGACTCGACGGCACTTGACAACAACACATATGCATATATATATGTATGCACACACACACATGTTGTTATGTGCCATGGAGTCAGTCCCAACTCATAGTGACCCTGTATAGGGTTTCTGAGACTATAAATCTTTACGTGAGCAGAAAGCCTCATCTTTCTCCCATGGAACAGTTGGTACTTTCGGACTGCTGACTGTCAGGTTAGCAGCTCAATTCGTAACCACTATGCTACCAGAGCTCTGAAAGGACTTCAAAGACTTCATGGGAAAATGAAATGAAAAGATAATGGAATTTTTCCATGAACTTGTTTAAACCCTCTCAAAAAGCATATATATACTTGTCTAAGAAAAAATATATGTATACTTGTATTGCTGTTGCTATTGTTAAGTACTGTCAAGTCAGTTCTAACTCATAGTGACCTTATATAGGATTTCCAAGAAGCAGCTGGTAGGTTTGAATGGCTGACCTTGTGGTTCACAGTCCAGCACTGATTCTACAGAGAAACATTTTTAAATAGTAACAGGAACATTTTTCATCCTCTTTTCCTCCTATTTACCACATAAGACCAATTAAAATAAATTAAAAATCCATACCTACTGCAGCTTGAATCATTTCTGTAGGCTCTTTAGCTGCTTGTATAATTTTCAAACAATCTTTATCCTTGTTCCAAAGAAAAAGTTCTCCTGTAATGAGTACGCCAGCCAGCCAGGCATCTGTTTCCCCCACAAAAAAAAGGAAATGTAATACTTTCCTTTCCTCAATTTACAGCCCAAATTATTAAAACATGTAGTTAATACAGTCTTTTTAAAAATAGCAGTACTACTTAACCATTACTGGACGTTGTTAGGACAATAACATCCTTCATCAAAGGCTGGAGAATAGGAATTTTCTTTTTTGTTCTTCCTGATAGTAAATTAATTTCATTTATTAATTTATCATCCAACAGAAAAACAGCTTCATTTTCCTAAGAGAAGAAAATATGTGAAGGACTTAAGAGGTGCAAGAAGTCATGTTAACCTAAATTCTCATCTAAACAAATTATTCTAGAAAGGAAAACAAAATAACATTTAATACATTATACACTTGTACCACAAATCTTAAGATGAATGAATATTAAGACTGATACATTAAAGAAATCTGAAGATCTTTCAATCTATTTAAAAATATAATCTCATTAGAATTACAAGGTAAAATGACATAGTGATTGTGCTTAAATTTCTTTCAAGTTCAAAATGATAAAAGTATCTTCAAATTCTGCTAGTCAAAACTAGGTTATCTGCTACTTTTATCAATTTTAACAGTAGTATGGGCAGGTTTTAAATTATACACATAGTTAGATTAAAATAGATATGGCTTCTGAAATTCATAAACCAGACTCTAATCATATCTTATTCTCTAACAAAATATGTTCCTTTTTAATTAGCATTGTTTTCATATAGTCAAAGTAATGGTTCTTAAAACAGTCATGGAACCAGCAGTTTTAGCAATGCCAAAATATATTCTAGTCATGCAAAATCTCCAACTCTACCACAGACCTATTAAATCAGAAACTTTGGGAGTAGGACCCCAAAATCTGTTTTATTAATGAGGTGTCCAGAAGATTCTCATGTATCCTAAAGTTTGAAAATCACTGTAGGAGGAATGATGTTGTTGATATGAAGTGCTGTCAAGTTGGTTCCGACCCACAGCAACCCTGTATAGGGTTTTCAAGGAGCAGCTGGTAAGCTTGAACCACCGATCTTACAGTTCAAATCGACTTGGCAGTCCATTACATTAATACAAGTGCCATACCAGGGCTCCATAGGGGCCCAGGGGAAGTGAGTTATAGCATTCACAGAGATACCACAATAGAAGTAAATATTCAAATGACTGTTATGGAAGGAGAGAATGTGAAAGATTAAATATTCCCTTTTGATAGAAACCATCAAAACTACTTAAAAATATATACTTTTTAATTTTTTGCAAATTAAGCCCTATTCTAGATAACTTTCTAGAAAAACTAATATGCTCATTATTATAAAAACAAAACATATACACATATAAACAAAGCATATACACATTACAAACAATACATACACACAAACCAAAACAAAACAAAACCCTGTTCAATGAACAGGTGATACTTCTTCTAAAGATGTTTTCTTTAGGGTTATGCTACACTTCTACATCTTAGAAGCAAAACACTTATTTAACACATTAAAATTCATATTTCATGAAGAAGGAAAGCCTACCTGTCCCAACCAAGAGACTCGTGGCCAGGGTTTTTTCTGCTTGATACTTGTTGATGTCAAAACTTCTAATCTTATCTCCATGCTTGTAAAAATGGTAGACAATCAACTGAATAAATGATAGTCACAAGATGCTGTAAATAATAAGACACTTGCTATAAAAGTTAGTATTGAGATGATTGATAAAATTGGAATATAGACTATACACAGATAAAAGCAATATACTAATTATTATCTTGAATACACAATATTCATTCAAATAGTTCAGAAAAAAATGTGTGCATGTGTGTGTGTAAAGAGAAGGATAAATCAAACTGGGCAAAAAAATAAACTGGTCAATCTCAGTAAATCTTAATTTAAAATTTTTGTAAACTTTTGGTATATAAATTACTTTTTCACCAACTCAAGGTGACTTTCTGTTTAAGGTAAGCTAAAACTAAACATGGTCATTTAAATAGATTCCAACTCATAGCGACCCTATATAGGGTTTCTGAGACCCTAAGTTTTAGGCTAAGAGAACAATAATGCATCAAGTACTTTATTTTAAATGTTGAATGGTCAGGCAAAATGTATTTGCTCTTTTGACAAGTTGTTTTTTCTTAAATTACACAGATAAACATGAAGTAGAAAAGAATCCGTGACAATAAAGTTTCATGTGATATTCTTTTCTCAGTATGGCAGAATGTATTTTTCAAATATGGCCACAAGATCTCCTATCCCATATGTGCTCTTACAATATGACTTTGACAATTCTCTCATCAAGAGATGTAATATATGATTTTTCCCTTGAAATTGAGCAAGACTTTGTGATGAAAGAGAATGAAAATAAATTTTTTAAAATTATTCCAGGATAATAGAGGTCCTGGTGTGGACTACAGGATAAGCACAGGACTGCTAACAGCAAGGTCTGTGATTCAAACTGGCCAGTCACTCCTCAGAAACCCTATAGTCAGAACCAACTCCCCAGCACTGAACAACAACAGGATAATAGAATCAACCAAACCAGAGTGAGAGAGTCTACAGGATAAACAATGCAATTTCTTCAATAAATAAGTGTCATTAAAACACTGTATTTGTGGGGGAGAAAAGGCAGTAACATGTTAAGAGACATAACCAAGTAAAAAGAGATGGGGATAAGATTCTTATGATTCAACAGAGAGTAATTGTTATCATGAC